TCCTCTTCCTGCATCCTCTTTAAGTGAGAAACTCAACTATCATTAACTAGTACAATTATCACCTAATGTATGCTTACAAATTATAATATTTGGTTGCAACAATGACTAGTACAGAAAAATGTGCATTGATCAGTTTATTTTCACAAAAGGTTTGGTTGAAGCATTTTGAGAAAGACAGAGCATAGTCAACCTAAGTCCACAAGTAAATCAATATGGCATGACACAGTCAATGTTAGTGCATTTTCCAAATAATCAAAAGACAGCACCAGTTTCCAAAAATTTATGACCTAGCTTGTATTGACCAAGATACTATGACATTGATGACAGAAATATTTGTTTGTACTTTTTTAAACGTTTCAATATTCTCATACAGTCTTACTTGATGAGTTATGAGAGACATTAAGATGTATGCTTTTATGTATATTCACTCCAATTTATATTATTTGGGAAATTGGAGATTCAAGGCATAAAAACATCCTTATTTTCATGGGCTGTATTGTATGTGAAAAAGGTACTTAAATATCTCTAGCCCTTGTGTCCTTCTCCTGTGTACATAACCCTATCTCATCTTGGCCACCAAATCCTTTCTCAGTCCAACCAAGTGGTTGACTAATACAAACATCTCGATTGTAAGCTCTGTTAATGTGGATTCATTTTTCCTCCCTATATGCAATTATTTTGCTTTATGAATTATTGCTATATCTTCTTTTTGAAGAAAAGTCCCAGTGTATTATTTTATACATTTTCTTAATTAAACAAGTTCGAATAATGTTTGACAGCTTGCTGGATTGTAATATGTATTCTCTATGACTATGTTAGTCAGCTGGTATCCCTAGATATTGATGTCTATGATGCATGGAATGGTAGACCTTTTTTAAAAAGTTATTTAGTTTGGATTTTAAGTTAATATGTACATGCATCCCAAACTTCAACAGAGACGACCGGAGATCCATTTATTTTCTGCTCGGTTCAAGGAGCAGAACGGGGATATTGCTGGTGCTCGAGCCTCTTATCAACTCGTTCATACTGAAATTTCACCTGGCCTTCTTGAAGCAATAATTAAGCATGCTAATATGGAACATCGTCTGGTAAGATGTCTTAAATAAGTTGTGATACATAGTAATGCATGGATTTTTAAATTTGGCCGTTTGAATTTTCAGGGAAACCTGGAAGAGGCATACTCTGTATATGAACAGGCCATCGCCATCGAAAGAGGAAAAGAACATTCTCGTGCATTACCGCTGTTATATGCTCAATACTCGAGATTTCTGAACTTGGTATGTTTGCTGAAATTATGGTCCCTCTGCTTGGAGATTGTTCACATAATTAAGCATTCTGCATTTGTCCTTTCATAGTTTTCATTATGCTTCTTTACACCTCTAACTTAAATGGGGAACACTAAACACATTTTGATTAATAATATAGGTTTCTAAGGATTTTGGATGTTACTGTTTATCTAGAGTTTACACCAAAAAAGTGCAACAAAAATAAAAGAGTCCAAACAGAAAATTGGGGTTTTTGTTCATTGTTTTTGCAAAAAAGAAAAAAAGAAAAATTGCCACCACAACGAAGGGTCTCAAGGAGCGGATGACTCGAAGTAGGTAGGACACGATGCAACCTAGCATCAAAGGAGAAAATCTTCTGAAACCCTTGAATGAGAATTTATTATGATTCAAAAAGTCTGCCAATGCAAAGAAGGAACCACATATTTATCGAGAATTTAAGCTAAGTAATTAAACTAACCTAACTATAAGCCTTACTTAAAAAGTGTCTTTTGGTGTATTTCTGTGTGTATTTTCTATCTTATTTAGAAAATTCGGCTATTTCATATTTTTGTTGTACCTAGTATTGCTGAGGTGGTTTGGAAATGTTTTTAAACTACTGGCCTTTTTTCTTTTTTTGTTGATACTGATGCACAGCTTTTGAAGGGAAGTATTCCCCAGTTGTGCAAGACATTTCGTTTATATTAAAATAAAGAAGCTTGCTATATTTTTCTTTGGTCTTCTCAATTTTTTGAGCAGTCTCTTCTGGGGGCATGCGATTAGTTGAATCAGCCTTTTTCTTGATTTCTGGAGCGTTGTTTTCTTAGAATCTTCTCTCTTCACTGTGTTGACAGGTATGTAAGAATGAAGGAAAAGCTAGAGAAATTCTTGATAAGGCAGTTGAGCATGGTGAATTATCCAAACCGCTCATTGAGGTACTCCCTCTCTTTCCATATTTGAAATATTTGAATTTAATCTCATAACTGTTGCTTTCCTGCGGTTAAATGAATACCTTTTTGCCTCCATGATTCATCCAGGCCTTGATTCATTTTGAGGCAATTCAGTCAGCAGCAAAGAGAATTGATTATTTAGATTCATTAGTTGAGAAGGTCATAGTGCCCAATACAGAGAATGCATCGGTCGTGAGTGCTTCAATGAGGGAGGAGTTATCAAGCATTTTCTTGGAGGTACGAATAAAGTTCATTATGTTTGCAGGGATAAGGCTTTTGAGGGTTGATAGACGTAATTGCAAGTTAAATATGAAGAATTAACTTCTTGGTCATGAGTATACTAGGAATTGTTCATTTGTTTTGGTTGACCTCACATTGATACAGATTGATAAGATTTTTTAGTACAAAGGTCTCTTGTTTTTCCACCTTAATTTGGATCTCACTCCTCTTTGGAGTTGTCAATATCTCCATTGCATGTATAATATTTTGGTACAGAGCAATACCAAGTTGAAGTATTTTAAAGGTAGAAAGTTCTTATTTGATGTTGCTGAATACGGGAAGTAGATGCTCACGACATGAAATCTTTCTGACATTTTCTTGATCAGAAAATCTTTCTTCCATTAAAATACGTTTGGTTTGTATTTTCCTGAATGCGCTCATGAATGATTTTGCAGTTTCTGAATCTCTTTGGAGATGTTCAGTCAATCAAGAAGGCGGAGGACAGACATGCAAAGCTATTCATTTCACATAAGAGTACATCAGAACTGAAAAAACGCCTTGCGGATGATTATTTAGCTTCTGAAAAAGCAAAAATGGCCAAATCCTATCCTAGTGTTGCTTCGCCAGCACAATCTGTGATGGGTGCTTATCCAACTGGTCAAAACCAGTGGGCAGCTAGCTATGGTTTACAACCGCAAGCCTGGCCACCTGTTGCTCAAGCACAGGGGCAACAATGGGCACCTGGTTATACCCAATCGGTAAATGCCTTTTTATCTTTCACCCTTTTTATTCTTCATATAACAAATAATGGAACATTTCACACAAAAGGTCTAATTGCCCTTGTTATGTTTAGTAAATCCCGTCACTACTTGTGGAAGGTAAAGGCGAATTCACTTGTTTCTCTTTCCATTCCATGTTTTCTGGTTTCTATATACTACATTTCTACCCTTCCAGTCACATAACAGTCATTTGGCTTGCGTTATTTCCCCAAAAAGTAAAGAGCAGAAAAGAAATAACCCTTCTATTGTTTCCTCCCGTCTACATGAATACAGGCCTCGTATAGTGGGTATGGAAGCACATACACGAATCCACCAGTGTCCACATCAGTGTCACAAGCCTCCACTTATGCGACCTATCCTCCTACATACCCTGTCCAGGTACTAAATCCTTCTCATCTCTTATTAATTCCACAATATTTTGTTTTGAGTTTGATGTGTTTGATGAGTACTTGAACTCAAAAATCGTATTTTTCATGAAATGTTGTGTTTATTTACAGCAGCAGGCATATTCTGCACAGAGTTACGCCCAACCGACTGCTCAAGCAACAATTACGCCATCACAGCAGCCAGCTTCAGTGGCTCAGCCGTATTACGGGAGTTACTATATGAATGGATGAGAATTCCCATTAGTTCATTCGTAACTGTAATCTAAAATTTTCCCCTCATGTGCGAGTACGATCTACTGACATCCTGTAGCTTTGTTTCTTAGGGACAAGTGGGTATGGTATAGCTAACTCAAACTAGGGGACAGTTCTAGAATTTTCTTCTGCCCAATTCTTCCTGTCTTTTTTTTTTTTTTTTTTTGTTTGTTCTTTTGATATGCCAATTAGATGTCATGGTTTGGATATCAGAATTTTCTATTGATTGAGAGTTACGAAAGATAGTGATTTCGAGCCAACTCTGTTTCTTGTGAATGTTTATTTGGCAGAACCGATTACGTGGTGTGCTGATGGTTGGCTTAAGCCCCTTGCCTCGCATTGTTTGAGTATTTTATTAATCAAATTACAAAACTCAATTCAAGAATATGTTAGATCCCTGGTAGGCCGAACATATAATTGAATGAATTGCTTATACCTTAGGAAATCAAAATACATTTATCTTTTGATGTATGCTTAGTTCAAGTTGCATAAATAAAAACGTGTATTATCACTGAGAGGTTAGAGTTTTGAATTTCTTACCATTATTTCACAAATGGTTAAACTGTTTTTCTTATATAACATAATAGATTCTCAATCCTAATGGATAAGATTTAAATTTGAATTTGTTTCTTTAAGAGGGAGAGGGGTGGGTCTCAATCACTTGGTTGACTATAAATGTACTAAGGAGAGCCTCTATCCAGTAAAAAATTGTAGATATCCAATAACGGTAATAATGGAGTTTTAACCTCGAAAAAAAATCCTAACAACTTACAATCACATGTAATAAAGGGTTTGAGCTAAAAAAGAAAAGAAGAAAAGAATACCTAATCAAATCAACACCAACATTTTCCAAGTAGTTTGACCGCAGTAAAAAAAAAAAAAAAAAAAAAACTGTCTTTTACCCACTCAAGAGCTAAACCTTATATCACTACATTTTCCCGGGTCAAGCCGGGTCATTTAGTGGGCTGACCCACCCACCCGACAAAACCCATCGCAGCAAGAGAGAAGCATGCGAGAGATCTGGGCCGTTGATATTGGCGACGGGGTTAACGTGGCAGTGTTGCTGGAGAGTGGGGCCCAGCTATCCAAGGGCCGTGCTTTGATATCGTCGTTTCCGATATAAATAAAAGCGAATTGTTGGAGTCTCTCGAGTGTCCGAAATCAAAATCCCTGCGCTTCCCCCTTGCGTAGATAGATCTGCTGCTGCCTTTGCCTTTGAGGTTTTTCCTTATCGCCGTCTCTCTGATCTCCGCCTTCCTTATCGGCAGCGCAGTCTCCGTTTCTTATTCTTTCGCGGTTCCCTTCGACCACTGCCTCCGTATACAATCCCTGATTCTCCATTTCTAACAACATTAACACATTTCTTAACTACTCTCCCTAGGGTTTTCTGCTTCCTTTTTGTTTTTTGCCCCCTTGGATCTACCCACCTTCGTACTTACGCTACTAAGTTTTAGGATTTGGGGGTTTGCATGCTGCCCTCCGTCAACTGAGCTTTACTTTTTTTTTTCTCCGCTTGTTTACAGTTGCGAAAATGGCAGCTTATTCTGGATCTGTCAGTGCTGTCCAGGTCTCCATCTTCTTCTTTTAACATTGCCTTTACATATTTTGATTGCATTTTTTTTTTTGTTTGTGTTTTTGGTTTATCTAATGGGTGGATATGGATTTTCGAGATCGTGCAGGTAGGGTCCTACTTTGTGGAGCAGTACTATCATGTTCTTCGGCAACAACCTGACCTTGTCCACCAGTTTTACAACGATGCTAGCTCCATGATTCGGGTTGATGGGGATTCCTCCGAGACTGCTTCCACAATGCTGGTATTTCTTGCTTTTTAATTCTTATGCACTCGTCTCAATTTTTGATACGAGTGAAGGATAGGATGGTTTGGCCATGTTCGAGTACTATTATTTTGTTATGTTTTGGTTGGAATTGGTGATTTCGTCATTTGTTGATTCTCAACGCTGGCAACTGTTTGGTTCTCATGTTTCTTATAGATTCTAACATTTTTTTATCAGTACGTAGTGTTAGGTATTACTCTTCATTAGGGTTTAAGCTATGAAATGTCATTACGGGATTACTGGTTTAATGGGTTTCTGAATCTTTCACTAATGCGTCGGTCAAGAAAAAATAAACACACACGCCTCTTCATTGCTTGCTTGTTTGTTGTGACAAGCTATATTTCTGCATGATATAACTTTTTGTTACTATTATTCACATGTTGTTATTTTTCTTCTGCAGCAAATACATACACTTATCATGTCACTAAATTTCACTGCATTTTCAATTAAGACGATCAATTCGATGGATTCTTGGAATGGGGGTATTCTGGTAGTGGTTTCAGGTTCTGCAAAGTCCAAAGAGTTCAATGGGATCAGGAAGTTTGTGCAGACCTTTTTTCTTGCTCCTCAAGAGAAGGGTTACTTTGTTCTTAATGATATCTTTCATTTCATCGAGGAGGAGATAGCTCAGCCCAATCCATTGCCTGTACTATCAGAAAATAAATTTGAATCTGAACTAAATGCTCTCAGCTCCATTCCAGAGCCACCAGGTACTTTATCAATATGATTGAAGAATTACGCAATAAATCACTAAGCTTTTTAATTTTTCCTATATATGGAGAAAACTACTTTTGTCATAGCCATGGATAGTGGATTCTTTCCCCTTCACATGGTGCACTTGATCTTTTGGAGCACTTGTATTTATTAACTTTAGAAGATTTCAAAGATTAGTGATAGTTGAAAGTGAACTAGTATGTTGCTAAAATAGTTTCTACATGGATCATTAGTAGCTAGATTAACCTGAGTAGTTCAGCCGGATATTAAGACTATATTTCTCTTGATTTCATTTTGGTAGTGTCCGACTATGTTTTGGAGGAGAATGCAATAGAGTATGTGGACCCAGTTCATGTAGAAGATGATCCAGTTGATAAATACAGCCTTCCTGAACAACACCAACAAGAAGAATTTGAAACTGAAGTTGTTGTGGAGGAGGCCACTGTGGAGGATTTAGTTGCTTCACATCCAATTGTAGTTAATAGTGTGCAGGAGCCTCTTTCTGCAGTGATTGATGAACCCGTTGGAGAGCCAGAAAAGAGAACTTATGCTTCCATAGTATGTGCACTCTACCATAGCTCCTAGTGTTGGTTCCTTTGTTTGCATGCTGTCTGTGTGTCTGTTGTGTGTGTGTGTGCAATGAAAATATTCCATCAAGCCATAATCATTTATTAGTTAGTTTTTGTGACTATAAAATAATCTACAGAGTTCAGGGTAATAAAATGGTCGTAACATGAACCTCACCAAAAAGAGGAATACAAAAGTTGGGAAGCTATATGATTATGATTTTGTTTCATCCAAGTCATAAATTGGAGATATCTTAGGGCTGTCATTTTTTCAGTTATTACAGCTTGAGCTGGATATTGATCGGTGGTACAAATGTGAGATTATTTTCTTATGTGTTGATAATATTGAAACTATGTAGTTAAGGGCTTCTAGAGCGGAATCTGCACAATCAGCTATTCCGCAATCATCATTTTACCCGAGTGCTCCAGCTACTTCTGAGTGGAACCATACTCCCGAACCTACCCCACAACAGATAAACCCTGCACCATCATATGCCCCTGAATCTGGAGCAGATGCAATTGAAGAAGGTTTTGGTATGGAAGATGGAGGTCAAATTCTTGATTCATTTTTAAATTATGGAGTTTACTATCTAAATTATTGCAATAGTCTGAAACATCATTATTTTTTTTTTCCTGTTTGTACTCCATTCTTTATATTGTTGTATGATGTTTTTGGTCTTTTAAGGTTTTACAGGTTGGATTTTAATAATTTTTTATTGGTTGCTTTCAGGACCCATACTTTTACATGAATTTTTGTATGACAGCTCTTTATTTTATCTTGTAGTACAGTTTTCTGCATGCTGCTTGAAATAACCATGAAAAGGACTCAGGGAAAAGTATTGTTATAATGGATGTTTGCGCGAGAAATGTTGTCTGTGTTTTTGAGACGTTGAAAAAATATTATTGTATTTTGTGTAATTTGCATTCCCAAAGCATCTGACTGGTTGTTTTATCGTTCTTTCTTCAGGTGAACCAAAATCTGTCTATGTTAGAAACTTGCCGCCTTCTGTTACTGAAGCTGAAATTGAGCAAGAATTTAAATCTTTTGGCAAAATTTTGCCTGATGGCGTATTCATTAGGTCCCGAAAGGTCAGTTCCTTACTTCTTGATGTTTGTTGGTTAATCTTTAATGGCTAAACACAGATATTTTTTTTGTTCAGGAAATTGGGGTTTGTTATGCATTCGTGGAGTTCGAAGATATTCTTGGCGTTCAAAATGCCCTAAAGGTTAGACATTTTATTTTGTTTTGGTTTCTGTGACAGAGACAAGCCAAGTTTGTTTTGGTTTTTACGTTTCTTTCCCTTGTAAAATATAAATCTGTCATATTCTGCTGCAGGCGTCTCCAATTCAAATAGGTGGAAGGCAAGTCTACATTGAGGAACGCAGGCCAAACAGCAGTGGTTCTCGAGGAGGAAGTAAGTGCAAATATACCTTGTTTCGTTTGTAACTTATTTTCTGGTTTTCTTATGCTATCTTTTTGCAAATTTGTGAAACCTTCAAGGTTTCTTCCTTTATGAGTTAGAATGTTTCTGAGCTCTATATTGGTATATTAGTCAGAATAATGCAGAATTAAACATAACCGATTTTGAAAAGATAAAACTTTAACCGGGATACAAGGGTCCTTGCTCATTGGTTCTTGTTGAAACAAAATTCTTCAAATAGCTTTTTTTGGGAAGGCATGTAAGCCAACCCTGTGTTGACACTAGTTATGCTGCCCAGTCCAGTTTATATATATGCCTTTTCTAATTCTTAATAGTAGCGATCAATGAGCACTTTGCTCCTAACTAAACCTTTGCAAATGACAATTTATTTACATTGGCTTCACATTGATGGTTTATGATGCATTTTATTGTTTCATGATCAGGAAGGGGAAGAGGAGGCAGAGGCAGTTACCAGTCAGATGCACCCAGAGGACGATTTGGTTCTCGTGGTTTGGGCCGAGGAAGCAGCCAGGATGGCAGTGACTATGGTAGGTTGAGAGGCAATGGATTCCCTCAGCGAGGGTATCACAAGGTTCAATAGCATCATCAATCATCTACTTTGTGCATATCATCCATTATGGAGATGAAAGCGTGGAAGAGTTTTTGGTTTGAAGGTGTGGGTTAAGAGAGAATGCAGTGTCTCGGGTGTGATGAGAGAGAGTGGTTTAGGAATTGGTTTGTAGTTTGTGTTTTGAGGTTGTGAGGTTGACGTTACGTTAGTAGAAATGTTAATTTGTGAGGAATTAATTGAAGAAGATAAGATGGCAGAGATTTTTCCCAGTTGGATAGTTTTTGAGATGCAATTCAAGTGGGGAATTTTGGGATTTGAAGTAGAAGCAGTTGTTAGGCTATGCGAGGGGGAAAGACTTGGAAGATGATCCTTTTCATCAATCGTATAATGAACTTGTTTCCTTTTGCTCTCTTATTCTTGTTTGTTTCTTCACTTTCACTCACCGTCCGTCTTCCAGACATGGAACAAACTTTGAAATTTATAATAAATTATACTAAGAAGTAATTTTTAAAATTTATAATAAATTTGACCAACCAATTTGTTTCAATCTGAAAATCCAATCCAACCTGAACTATAAGGGTTGGGTTGGGTTGAATTAGCATTTCGAGTAGGGTTTGGTTCATTTTTTTAAACTCGAATTGAATCAGTTTTGCGTTCGTGGGACAAACTCTCGAGTTAAAAATAAATACATAAATTATATTAAGAATCTTACAATTATGTTATTTTTATGTGAATAGTTATAGAATGATTTGTTTTTTTATGTGAATAATTATAGAATGATTTGTGTTTGTGTAAGATGGTGAAAAGTTTTAACCCATTAATTTGAACTATCCCATTGATTTTGATTTGGGTTAGAGTTGGGTTTTGGTTTGATCGTCAAACAAAAATTCCTTAATTCAACTCAACCCAACTGGACATGTACACCTCTACTGGACACCTCTCGTTTGATCCATTTATTCCAGCATTTTCCACGTTCCGTTTTCATTTATATTCATACATTTTTCTCACCAAAAACAGAAAAAAAGAAAGGATGATTGCATTTGGAATCTGCGACCCCCCGCGTCTGTGAAGATCATTGGTTGAAATTTGAAATGGGAATTGGTGGAGAAAAGGTGCTGATTTTTTCTATTTTTCTATTTTTCTTTTGATCATCGATTGATTGGAGAAGTCCAGACTAATCGGACAAACCTTTTTTCTTCGCTGCAGTTTCCCTCCATAGCAACATAAATACTTCTTCTTCTCCTTCATCACAGACATTTCCTGAATGAAATCAATCCTTCGCTTTTTGGTATCTCATTTTCCCGAATGCTCGATCGATGTCGCGGATGCCACCGACTTAGCTGATATAAAGGGCATTCGCCCCAAATTGGTTTCCATCTTCGAACGCTCTCTCCAATCCCACAATTTTCCAGGTGCGGCGTCCTATTGGTTGTGATGTCTTTTTTCTCTTATTATTTCTGGGTTTTATTTACGAACATGGAATTGATCGCCCGACAATTTTAGGAAGGGATGTTTCTGGGTTCTGTAGTTCTTCTTGAATATTGTGATTGTTTTAGAGGCTTAGTTGCCGCCTTTTACTTCGTCTGGTAGTGGGTCTTCCTTTTATTCGTTTCTCTTTTCTTTTTGTTAAAGATAGTGCCATGACAATCAAGTTACTTTCCTATGTTCTCTCATTACCAAAATTTTCCTTTTATAAGCCATTGTCATTGAAATCAAATATCGGTTTTCCAGAAGGAACCGGTGGAAGATGATAATCTCTGATCAAGGGTTGCTTGCACCAGTTCCATAAATCCATTGGAAGAAGGGGTGAATAAATCCTGGGGATGCCAAGCTGTGCCGTTTGGGCTTATTACTGCTTCTTGTGGTTTAGCTTTGAGTGCTTTAGATGACCTCGCCATTTATCATAGCTGTAGCAGGTATGTTTGACTTGTTAGAGCTTGCCAAATTCTCTATGAACTATAGTTCAATTAAATGAAGCCTGAAGTTTGCCTAATAAACTGATGCATCTTGGAATTGTTTGTTATGCATTGTTTTTTGTTTCCTTGTTTCACTTATTTGTGCTTCGAAGTTCAAGGGAACTCTCCCCATCACCATTTCTGTTGTATTCATAGTCATCTAAATAAAAAAGGCAAGATGGTAGTGAAGTTGTTCAGTCTTGCTTGTTCTCAATCTTGAAAATTGGCAATGTTCTTACGTTACCAAGGCTTGTCTTCTCTTCAGATGAGCTAATCAATTTTATCAGATCATGTCTCGTATTAGTATGCAGTGACATTTACATTATCGTTACAGCAAGAGTTCATTTGTCAATCTTTTTTTATGATGAGGGGACAAAAGAATGTAAGGTTTTTTTAGGAAGGGAGAATGGGGGGTTGTTTTCCCTGTTTAACTTTTCCTTGTACATCAATGGTTTAACCCAGATGACGTACAGATGCAACTTGTTCCTCTGGAGCAATACCCACGACCTTTTGCCTTCGGATGAGCCCTACCATTTCTCGTTGCCTTCCCCAGTTCCTGAATGGCCTCAAGGTATATGATATTATCAAATGAATTTGAGTTATAAGCTATTGCCTTTTGTCCATTTTTTGTTGTATTATTCCCCTTGATACTTTTCATCGAACTTGAGGCAATTCTTTGTTTGTTTCTGACTCAACTTGTGGCTTTAGTTGATAAGGAGTATTGGATAAGCTAGTCGATCTCTCCTTTTCCCCAATAAACTACTTGGGTTTGTTGTAGTGTAAGATTTTAACGTCGAAGCAATAGAGATATAAAGTTGAGTTCTTGTTGTTGATAACTATGAAGGGAAAAATAGAATCTTGTGGAACGAAGCTCTGTTCTAATTCAACCATCGCACAGAGAAGAGATATCTGCATTGAAAACTGGATTATTTTGATGTAACTAAAAGCGATGTGTTGACACAAAACAAAAGGATGCCCGTAGAGCAGAGCATCCATTAACGTTTGAGGTCGCAATAGCCTGCAAAGTTGTAGGATCAATTTTCATTAGGGGGAAATATTGAAGAAATTGAGAATCTGGGTGGTAATCTTTGACGTAATAAGATTCGTTAACAATTTCATGGAGAAAGATACAAGTTAATAGCTGTCTCTAGTTTGTTTAAAGATAGATGTCTAGTTGTGGTGAGTTTTCCAAGCGCTCTAACTTGTGAATAAGTAATTGTAGAGGTCAGAGCTTTCACGTGTGTAGTTGCAGTTATACATACAAATATTGATCTTCCTTCAATGGAACTTGATGCATGTCTTTTAGGTGGAGGTTTTGGTTCTGGAAAAGCAAGTCTTGGGGAAATTGAGGTTCTGAAAATCACCCAATTTGCTTCCATATGGGGCTTCAATCTAACGCACCGAGAAAACAATGGTGTTACATTTTACAGACCATTAAGGATATCTGAAGGATTCCACTGCCTTGGTCACTTTTGCCAACGTAATGACCAGCCCCTGCATGGTTATCTTCTTGTCGCGAGGGAAGTAGATGCTTATTTTCAGGATGGTGATCGTGTTAGCAACATTGTTAAATTACCAGCCCTTGTGAAACCCCTTGATTATACATTGATATGGAGTCCAGACGATGGGAGAGAGGAGCAGTACAGTGAATGTGCTTACATTTGGCTACCTCAACCGCCTGATGGTTATAAATCCATGGGTTATTTTGTTACTAACAAGCTAAAAAAGCCTGAATTAGGTGAAGTAAGGTGCGTTCGAGCTGATTTAACCGATAGATGTGAAACTTATCGCTTAATGCTTAATATCAGTTTCAAATGTACAAACTTTCCAGTACAGATTTGGAGTACAAGAGCATGTCACCGGGGGATGCTTGGAAGGGGTGTTCCCGTAGGAACATTTTATTCTGGTAGTCACAAAGTCACTGAAAAAGAGCTTCCTATTGCGTGCTTAAAAAACCTGGATTCTACACTGCATACAATGCCGAATCTCGATCAGATTCACGCTCTTATCAACCACTATGGACCCACTTTCTTCTTTCATCCCAAAGAAATCTACTTGCCATCTTCTGTTTCCTGGTTTTTCGAAAACGGGGTGCTGTTACACAGAGATGGTATGTCATCTGGGGAGGCCATTCATGTTTGTGGCACAAATTTGCCAGGTGGTGGGAGAAATGAGACAGTATGTTGGATGGATTTGCCCAGTGATGATTGTAGAGACAAGATCATATATGGAAATCTGGAAAGCGCCAAACTTTATGTTCATGTGAAGCCAGCTCTGGGAGGGACATTCACGGATATTGCCATGTGGGTTTTCTGTCCCTTCAATGGATCAGCCACTCTTAAGCTTGGAATCATGGATATCAGTCTTGGGAAGATTGGACAACATGTGGGAGATTGGGAGCATGTCACCCTCAGGATCTGCAACTTCACAGGAGAACTTGGTAGCATTTACTTTTCCCAGCACAGTGGTGGTGAATGGGTGGATGCTTACAATTTGGAGTTCATACAAGGGAACAAAGCCATAGTTTACTCCTCAAAGAGCGGACATGCTAGCTACCCTCATCCTGGGGTCTACATTCAAGGCTCTGCAATGCTCGGGATCGGAATTAGGAACGACTGTGCACGTAGTCATCTTTGTATCGATTCAAGCAGCCATTATGAAATAGTTGCAGCAGAGCACTTGAGAGACAATGGCGTTGTGGAGCCTTGTTGGTTGCAGTTCATGAGAGAATGGGGTCCGACTATCATCTACAGCTCGAGAACGACGCTCGACAAAATGATTAATTTCCTTCCTTCGATGATTCGGTTTTCGGTTGCAAACATAATCGGAAAGTTACCAGGGGAATTGTTTGGAGAGGGTGGCCCAACAGGGCCGAAGGAGAAGAACAATTGGGAAGGAGATGAGAGAGGCTAAATTGTTCTTGGGCATTCTACATTTGTTGCTGTTATTGTGAGGTGAAAATGCTATGGATTTTGCTGAGGAAAATGCTAAATTTAAATTAAAAATATATTTTTTAAACAAGACCGATAATTCATGTGAGATCTCACGTTTATTCCTTAACCAGTATGTGGAAACTTTTCTTTATAAAAGTGTGAAAACTTCTCCTTTCCTTTGAAAACCTTTAAGTATGTAGAAACCTTGGGTGTGGAAATTTCTCCCTATCAAATTTTTCTTTAAAAACCTCTCTCTAGCAGATGTCTTTTAAAATCGTGAGGTTGATGGCGATACATAATAACGGGCCAAAACGAACACAATATTTGCTAATGTGAGCTTAGACTATTACAAATGGTATTAGGGTTAGTTACCGGGCGATGTGTCAGTAGAGAAGAGAGAAATAAAACATTCCTGGTAAGATATGAAAATTCGACGAACTTGAGCTGAGATGTCTTTTCTCTAATTTAATCTAATTTTTAAAAATTAATTATAAGGTTATGAACTGTATTAAAAAATAAATAATAT